AGGGGGGCCTGGGCAGCAGGGGGAAACGTATGGTGCACAGGGAGGGGCATGGATGTGGGTGGGGGGGGGCAATTACTGGAACCCATCCCTGTATATCTCTCTCTGCAGCAACTGAGAGCCAGTGGGAGGGAGAGGAGAAGAAATTTGCTTTCAGCTGCTGCAGAGAGAGCCATACAGGGCATCGGTTCTAGTAATTGCCCCCTTCCTCCTTACTGAGCACCTTCCCTGCCCACATCTGGTTCACCCAGCTGCTTGGGCCCCCTCAGACCTGTGCTGCTCCGTACAGGAGGACTGGTGGTACCCCCTTATCCAAGGCCTTGACTGTGTAATATACGTCCTGCCAGATACAGTACAAAGGTCAGGACTGATAAAACACACAACACATTTTCTACTGTGCAGGGGTATAGAATGTAGGGATCAAGACAGTGTAATGCAGAAGATATTATATACAGTGCAGGGGTCAAGACTATGTAGCATACACAATAGCTTATATGGTGCAAGGGTCAGGACTGTATAATGTACAACATTGCATGTGCAGTGCAGGGATCAGGACAGTGTAACGCACAACTTAGATATGCTGGACAGGAGTCAGGACAGTGTAATGCCTAACATAGCATATACAGTGCAGGGATCATTGTATGGAGGATTAATACACGGTTTACCAGGTCATGCTCTATTCTGTGAAAATAGTGAGACTTTTGCATGGTTTCACTTAAAGTAAGTAAAGTAAGCCTTCTAAAACTTGGATGCCCCAGCGCTTAAGGTGTATTGCCTTATTTGCAAAACATAGCAACCCTGGAGAGAGAGTTTACGTACCATGTCAGATGTTTTCAGGATGCTGTATGGTCAAAGTAGGTGTTTTATGCAAAAGTGACAAGGACTAGTGAATGGCTGGAAGACAAGCTTGCAGGGATCAGGGCTGGAAGCAGGCAATGGTATAGTTTGTTAATGGTATAGTTTGTTATCCAAGCAAGGTTCAGGGTAGGTGGCAATCAGTAGCATATCTGTTATCCAGGCAAGGACCCAAGGCAGGCAGCAATCATTAGTAAATTTGTTATCCAGACAAACATCGGGGAAGGCGGCATTCAGTAGTGTATCTGTTATCCAGGCAAACAGTCGAGGCAAGTGACAATCAGTAAAGTATCTGTTATGCAGGCAATGGTTAGCAAACATGAACAGAGGCAAGACACTAGGTGTCAGGAATGGACTTGCCAGTAATGGTGGGACTCACCTGCCTTGTGGGCTGCAGTACCAGGGCTGGCCAGCAGGTGCTCCCAGCAATCAGAGACTCAACCCTGCAGCCAGCCAAACACCTGAAGTTGATTATACAGGTGTATTTAAGGGATGGCCAGACCTGCAGTCTCTGCCTTGGTGTGTGTTTTTCCTGGGCCCTGTATCTTGTTCCTGCATTCCTGTTCCTGTCTGATTCGTTGCTGACCCTGCCTGATCCGAACCTCTGCTGACTTCTCCTGTTTCATCCCTGGCTTGTGACCCCGACCATTCTCTGCCTGACCCCCTGTACCTACCTGCCCGATTGTTATTGACCCGGCCTGCCTGACGACGCTTGCATTGTATGTACTGTTATCTGTGGGTGGTTTGGTTCGTTTGCACTGTGTTATGTTTCAGTATTGCACTGCGTTTATGTTTGTATTGTTAGTCTTTAATAAATTATATTGTTTATAACTTATCTGAAGCCTGCGTTTCCCTGCGTCAGTCACATACCTCTGGTCACACCCCGGAGCCCTGACATTACACCAAGGCCAATCCTGACCAGAAGTGGCTGCACAGGGAAGCCATCTTGGCTTGTTGCTGGGAAGGAAGGATCTTGATGAGGTTGTGTATTTGTCGCTGCTGGTTTTTGATGACAGAGAATATGCTTATCAGGCTCTGAGGGAGTATACCCGGGATCAACTGCTAGAATGTATACGGAACGCTCATGTTCTAGTAGATCAGGGCACATAGTTCTCTGAGGTGCAACCTTTGATTCAGGTTTGTGTAGAGTTGGCTTCATCTGGTACCCCTGAAAGCAGGAATTACTTTTTGCCACCATTTAGTGCAGACCAGGTAGAGTCCCTGGTATGGTTATTAGAGGATGATGTGGATTGCTTCTTGGAACATTATGCTGCATGTTCACCACAGGTATTAAGGGATTGTATAAACGCAGTGCAGTCTTTGACCAGACAGGCTTTGTGTAAGCTGAGCTTTGTTCAACCCATACTGCAGACATGGTCAGACTTGTTTACACCCAGCCTCAGTCAGCTTGCAAAAACAGGAATGGACTTGCCAGTAATGGTGGGACTTCACCTGCAGGAGTCCTGCTTCTAATCTATTTCTTCAAAGCTCTATTCCTGCATTCCCAACAGCACCTCCAGTTACAGCCCAGTATACCCTGCTATCTACCGCATGTCAGTACCCGATTGTTATTGACCCGGCCTGCCTGACGACGCTTGCATTGTATGTACTGTCATCTGTGGGTGGTTGGTTTGGTTCGTTTGCACTCTGTTTATGTTTTAGTATTGCACTGAATTTATGTTTGTATTGTTAGTCTTTAATAAATTATATTGTTTATAACTTATCTGAAGCCTGCGTTTCCCTGCGTCAGTCACATACCTCTGGTCACACCCCGGAGCCCTTACACTAGGTCCATAAGTCAGGACGCTTAGTGCCATCACAAGCTTAGAGCCCTGGGCTTGTGATGTTTAAACAGGGCACCAAAGCCCAACTGGACATGCTGGCAGGCAGTGCCAAGCTGCTGCCTAGGAATAGGGACATCACCAGTCAGTAGGAGTGGAGTGGTGTTGCTCACAGTGCAGGGCTTGCTGTTTGCCAATCTTTGTCACTCTGGCTGAGAAAATAGAGTGGCTGAGTGACAGCTGCAGACAGATGGATTGGCTGCAGGGAGAGAGACAACAGGAGTGTGTCTCATCTTCCTAACACCTGCTGATTTGTTTATACTGGATTTCTGAAAGCAGCTCCTAAATAACCAAAAGGCTGCATTTCACTTTAACAGAGAAATATGGCCAAAGCTTTTCTGGCCATACTTCTCTTGAGTGTCATAGGAGTGCACTTACTTGTTCTCTTGTTTGACCCTGTGCAGGCTCTTGAAGTATCCTGGCAATAGTGTCAGGATCCACCCAGATGCCTGATTAGAAGCCGTCTCAGCTTCTCAGCATGCCCTTGAGAGCCTGAGTGAGCCGCTTCTGTCCCCTCCCCAGCCCGGTGCTCCAGTGAGAGCTGGAGGGAAAGAAGAGAGAGGTGACTGACAGTCACCGCTCTCTCCTCAGAGAAGATCGAGAACTGAGCAGTCGGTGATCATGTGATCATTCAGTTCTCGGCTTATGAAGGCCATAGACTGGTCGTTTATCGGCCGAATTTTCGTCCGCACGAAAAATCGGCCGATAATCACGCCGTTTGTGGGGCCAGCCCGTCGGCTGTTTTCCGCGGATCTTTTCATTTATTTTTATTGGTCATGCTGGAAAATTCATGAAAAAAAGGCCTTTTTTTGCGGACATGGGTGGCAGCATTGGCAACGGGGCCGACCGATTTTGCGTTTATCAGCCGAAAATTCGGCCAATAAACGTCCCGTCTATGGCCTGCCTTAGTGCTGGCGGGAGACAACTACAGCATTAGACAGATGCTGTGGCAGGGAGGTAAGTATGGATGTTTGTTTTTTTGTATTCCCCTGCTTCTCCTATGTTTATGCTAAAGCTTCAGATTTTCTCTAGATTCTAAGAGGTAAATCGGTACTCAAAGCATTTTTCTGTTTCTGCTTGTACTAGTCACTAGAAGGTCACTATACTGCTTTAAAATTGTGTCCTAACCAGGTCTGTTTTTTTCTCAGAGAATAGGTGGAGGAACTCTCCCCTTCTGAGTCACCACTTGTCTCTGACCCCTACCCACCTCCGAACACCGTCCCTTTGTTCCACCCCCTCTACCCACCTCCTAGTACTGCCCCCTTTAGAGAATTCAACACCAAGTATCATTTTATGATACTAAGCAATTTGTATTGAATGTGATAAAGATAGCAAGTAAAGCATTAAAATAAATCCCCTGCAGCCAGCAACAATAACCCCTCTAAAACAAAAATAGACCCCCAACAGCAACAACAGTTCTCCCAGCAGTCAACATCAATAAACCATTCATTCACCAGCCAGCAGTAAAAGACCTCCCCTAGCAACAATAGATCCATCACCAGCAAAAATAGAAGCCCCCAGCAACAATATACCCCACCACACAAAAATATGCCCCCTACAGCAACAATAGATCCACCAGCAGCCAGTATCAATAGACCCTCCAGCACCCCTTGCTATTACATACTTTCTGTGCTGAAGGTGCCTAAACTGCATTCCCCATGTTCCTGCTGAAAAAAAATCCCTAGTCCTAACAGACCAGCTTTCCACTAAATTTTTTTCTTCCAATACAGCTGAGAAACAGACATTTCCAACATACATTCTAGTCTGGGGGAAAATGATTCCAATGCTCCATGCTGGGGTACCAGCAATCATTTCCCATGAGTAATAGCTAATTACAGGACCGCCAGGACCATTAGCCATGAGCAGTTATGTGGTTGGCTCAATTTGTTTTTCAGTCTTAGCCATTGGGATACCACTACTAGGTTATCTTCTACACTTCTATACGGAGTGAGGGTGAACAAGGACTCTGGTGGTGTAGGTGATGATGAAACTGATGAAGTGTGATGCTCAGGATGAGGGGACCATATCATGGGGATAAGAATGAAAAAAAGAGGAGGACCATGAAGAAGGTTCCTACATCTCCCTGCTTTTCTAAGCTAAATTATGGTTGTATTTGGATATAACGATTCTACCTTCTCTGATCCACAATAGGCTTGTTTGAAGCATGTTGCCATCAAAACTATTAGCTAATCAGCAGCTGCTACCATATTTTCTTCAACATATGAAAGAAAAAAAATATATTATCTATCTATGTATGTATATATAATATATACTGTATATATAAAAGCACTATATTGCTAGAAGTATTGGGCCACCCCTCCAAAGCACTGGGTTCAGGTGTTCAAATCACTTCCATGGTGGCAGGTGTATAAAATCAAGCACCTTGGAATGCAGACTGCTTCTACAAACATTTGTGAAAGAATGGGTCGCTCTCAGGAGCTCAGTGAATTCAAACGTGGTACCGTGATAGGTTGCCACCTGTCCATCTGTGAAATTTCCTTGCTACTAAATATTCCATGATCAACTGTTTTTGGTATTATAACAAAGTGGAAGCAACTGGGAACAACAGCAACTCAGCCACAAAGTGGTAGGCTGTGTAAAATGACATAGTCACATAGATAGTCTGGCTCAGTGGTCGGCAAGCCGCGGCTCGCGAGCCACATGCGGCTCTTTACAAGCTTAAATGCGGCTCTTCTGTGTGCCGGGCGCGCCCTCCCCTCACTCCCCTCCCTCCTCTCCCTCCTCTCCCTCCTCTCGGACGGGCGTGTGCCGGGCGGCCGCCCCCTCACCTCCCCCTCACCTCCCCTCCCTCCCCTCCCTCCTCTCGGACGGCCGCCCGCTCCCCTCCCTCCTCTCGGGCGGCCGCCCCAAAAGTCAGGACTCTGCAGCTGTCAGGATGTAGGCGGGGCAGCCAGGATGTAGGCGGGGCAGCGTGACGAACTCCTCTCCTCTCACAGTCCGCCCTGAAGACCAGAACGGCGCGGGAAGCACGACGAGAGGAACGCGCGGAGCAAAGGTAAGTGAATTGACACAGGGGGGACTTACTATATGGGGGATGAATTACTATATGGGGGACTTACTATATGGGGGGGACTTACTATATGGGGATGAATTACTATATGGGGGGGGGGGACTTACTTATATGGGGGGGACTTACTATATGGGGGGGGACTTACTATATGGGGGGGGGACTTACTATATGGGGGACTTACTATATGGGGGACTTACTATATGGGGGATGAATTACTATATGGGAGATGAATTACTATATGGGGGATGAATTACTATGGGGGATGAATTACTATATGGGGGATGAATTACTATATGGGGGATGAATTACTATATGGGGGATGAATTACTATGGGGGATGAAATTACTATATGGGGGATGAATTACTATGGGGGATGAATTACTATATGGGAGATGTATTTTCAGTTTTAAAAATGTGGCTCTCAAAATAAATTTCAATCGTGGTTTTGGCGAGATTTGGCTCAGTTGAAAAAAAAAGGTTGCCCACCACTGGTCTGGCTGAAAAAAGACAAAAGTCCATCCAGTTCAGCCATTAAAAAAAAAAGTTATAATCCTACACCCACAGATCCAGAGGAAGGCAAAAAAACTCAGCAAAGCATGATCCAATTTGCTGCTGCAGGGGAAAAAAATTCCTCCCTGATCCCCTGAGAGGCAGTCAGATATATATTGGATCAACTTTAACTATAAATATTAGTATCCAGTTATATTCTGTGTATCTAGGAAAGAATCCAGGCCTTTTTAAAGTAATCCACTGAGCTGGCCAGAACCAAATCTTGAGGGAGTCTAGTCCACATTTTCACAGCTCTTACTGTGAAGAAACCTTTCCATATTTGGAGATTACATTTCTTTTCCTCCAGACGTAAAGAGTGCCCTTGTCCTCTATGATGATCTCAGGGTGAATAACTCTACACCGAGTTCACTCTATGAACCACTGATGTATTTATACATGTTGATCATATCCCCCCTTAATCTCTTCTTCTCAATGGAGAATAAATTCAGTTCCTGTCAGACACCGCCCGGCGGGATCTCTAGTGATTCACAGAATGGGATCCCCCAGGACGTGGAGTCTAAGTCCCAGTCTGCCCTCTCACCAGAGCCCCTGATGGTGGGGATGGACTTGGTGCAAGACTGAAACCAGGTTGCGACCCCTGAGTTCACCCAACTATGATAGAGGGGTCCTGCCGGGTATGTGCCGGGGGTGAGCCTGATGCGAAGAGGCTGACAAGTCCAGGTCCCAAGCGGGATGGATGGATGACAGTCAGGAATGAGCGTAGTCAGACTAGCCAGGTCGGTAACGGTGGAGGCAGATAGGTACCAAGCAGTAGACAGAGAGCAGCCGGGTCACGAGCCAAGGTTCAGCAACGGGGGGTCCAATAGTAATATAACAACAGAAGAGTAGTCAGGGAAGAGCCGGGGGTCAGAGCAGGAGAAGGTCAACACAAATCAGGACAAGCAGGATCGGCAACAGGAACACTTCAGAAACACAGGTACAGGAACTAGACCTTGCGGCGACCTGATCACCACCTGGCCAGTTTAAATAGTGTGCCCTGCACCGCCATTGGTGCCAGGCGCGCGACCGCAATTGCCGCTGCCGCCGCCCAGGTCCTAGTGCCTGCACATTAGTGCGCCTAGGCAATATGCGCATGCGCAGACCTGTGCACCGCGGTGAGACCCGTAGTCCCTGACATAGCCCCCCCCCCCCCCACGGGCAGCCTCCGGATGCCCAACCGATCCCTCCTAGACGGCTGGTTCTGAAAAAATTCCCGAACGAGTCTTGGGGCATGAACATTTTGGGCCGGCTCCCATGAATTCTCCTCAGCCCCTTCCATTTGACCAAGAACTGAGTTTGGCCTCTCCTCTTCCTACAATCTAGGATTGCCTCTACCTCCTCTCCGTCGATGTTTATCGCCTCTGGAGGTTTAGACCTCTGATCCGGAAAAGGGGTCTGGTGTCGCCGGCTTCAATAGTGACACATGGAAGACCGGATGAATTCTAAAAGATGAGGTAAAGCAGAGTGTCAGCTAAAGACCTACAGAAATCTCTGGCACATGCTAACATTTTTGTTGACACATCTACAATAAGGAAAACATTAAACAAGAATGGAGTACATGGGAGGACACCACGGAGGAAGCCATTGCTGTCCAAAAACAATATTGCAGCACGTTTGAAGTTTGCAAAAGAGCACTTGGATGTTCCACAGCACTACTGGCAAAATATACTGTGGACAGATGAAACCAAGACTGAGTTGTTTGGGAAGAACACACAACACTATGTGTGGAGAAAAAAAGGCACAGCACATCAACATCAAAACCAACATCATCCCCACTGTAAAACATGGCGGAGGGAGCATTATGGTTTGGGGCTGCTTTGCTGCCTCAGGGCCTGTACGGATTGTTGTCATTGATGGGAAAATGAATTCCAGAGTTTATCAAACATTTTGCAGGAAAACGTACGACCATTTGTCCGCCAACTGAAGCTCCGCAGAGGATGGGTGATGCAACAGGACAATGACCCAAAGCATACAAGTAATTCAACAAAACAATGGCTGCAACAGCACAGAATACTCCTTCTGGAGTGGCCTAGTCAGAATCCTGACCTCAACCTGATTGAAATGCTGTGGCATGAGCTTAAGAGAGCGATTCACACCAGACATCCCAAGAATATTGCTACACTGAAACAGTTTTGTGAAGAGGAGTGGTCCAAAATTACTCCAGATCGTTGTGCAGGTCTGATCTGCAACTATAGGAAACGTTTGGTTGAGTTATTGCTGCCAAAGGAGGGTCAACCAGTTATTTAGTCCAAAGGTTCACATACTTTTCCCTCCCTGCACTGTGAATGTTTACATGTTATGTGCAATTAAACCATGGCAACATCTAATGTTTGTGTAGTATTATGTTCAGCAGACTGTGTTCTTCTATTGTTGTGACATAGATGACGTTCAGAGCACATTTTATGCCCAATTCATGCAAAACTCCAGGTAATCCCAAGGGGTTCACATACTTTTTCTTGCAACTGTGTGTGTGTGTATATATATATATATATATATATATATATATATACTGTATATATATATAGTTGTGTTCAAAATAATAGCAGTCAGACATCACTAACCTGATCAATCACTGTTTTTGGTAGAAATGATATTTCTACATGGCAAATAATTTACTAGCAGGTGTAGTAGAGTAATAGAAATCCAACAGACCCAACAGTCATGATATGTATGCTGCTGATTCTGTGTAATTGAATCACTAATTGAAAGGGGCATGTTCAACATAATAGCAGTGTGGAGTTCAATTAGTGAGGTCATTCATTCTTTGAAAAACAGGTGGCAATTATTGCCCTTATTTAAGGAAGGAAGGCAGCAAATGTTGTACATGCTGGTTACAGTGCATTTCTCTCTGAAATTCTGAGGAAAATGAGTCGTTCCAGACATTGTTCAGAAGAACAGTGTACCTTGATTAAAAAGTTGATTGGAGAGGGGAAAACATATAAAGAAGTGCAGAAAATGATAGGCTGCTCAGCTAAAATGATCGCAAATGCTTTAAAATGGCAATCAAAACCTGAAAGACGTGGAAGAAAGCGAAAAACTATCATTCGAATGGATAGAAGAATAGCCAAAATGGAAAGGACTGAGCCAACAATCAGCTCCAGGAAGATCAAAGAAGGTCTAAAGTTACCTGTGAGTACTGTTACAATTAGAAGACGCCTATGTGAAGCCAAGCTATCTGCAAGAAGCCCCCGCAAAGTCCCACTGTTGAAAAAAAGACATGTGCTGAAGAGGTTACAATTTGCCAAAGAGCACATTGACTGGCCTAAAGAGAAATGGCGCAACATTTTGTGGACTGATGAAAGTAAGATTGTTCTTTTTGGGTCTAGTGGCTGGAGACAGTTTGTCAGACGACCCCCAAACACTGAATTCAAGCCACAGTACACTGTGAAGACAGTGAAGCATGGTTGCGCAAGCATCATGATATGGGGATGTTTCTCATACTATGGTGTTGGGCCTATTTATCGCATACCAGGGATCATGGATCAGTTTGAATACATCAGAATACTTGTAGAGGTCATGCTGCCTTATGCTGAAGAGGAAATGCCCTTGAAATGGGTGTTCCAACAAGACAACGACGACCCCAAACACACCAGTAAACGTGCAACATCTTGGTTCCAGACCAACAAGATTGACGTTATGGAGTGGCCAGCCCAATCCCCGGATCTTAATCCAATAGAAAACTTGTGGGGTGACATCAAAAATGCAGTTTCTGAGGCAAAACCAAGAAATACAGAAGAACTGTGGAATGTAGTCCAAT